TAGAGATGGGCTGTTTTCATGTCTAAGTGCCTTACTTGCCAGGAAGTGAAGGCCGAGCATCAGAGACCAGCGGTTTGTTGCAACCCTTGCCTATTGCCGAGTAGAAGTGGGAGCATGTCACCTTATGGACTTCGTTGTGGGTCTTCCGAGGACTCAGCGGGGTAGTGATGCCATTTGGGTGGTTGTAGACTGTTGACTAAGTCGGCGCACTTCATTCCTATGCCGTGAGAGATTTGGTGGATCATCTCGCCGACTTGTATATTCGGGACATAGTGAGATTGCAACGGGGTCCCGGTGACGATCGTCTCAGATAGAGATCCTCGTTTTACTGCTAGGTTGTGGCAGTTTTGCAGAGTGCCTTGGGCACTAAGTTGACCTTTAGTACGGCCTATCATTCCTCAGCACTGACGGGCAGTCTGAGTGTACTTTTCAGATCCTTGAAGATATGCCTTCGAGGTTGTGTCCTAGCCTTCAGTGGGACGTGGGAGAGGCACTTGCCATTGGTAGAGTTTGCCTACAACAACAGCTTTCAGCCTAGTATCGGTATGGCACCGTTTGAGGCCTTGTATGGTCGACCGTGTAGGTCTCCAGTGTGTTGGGCCGAGGTGGGTGATCACCTTTGTTGGGTCCGGAGTTGGTTGGGAGACGACGAAGAAGTTGAGCTTATCCCGTAAAGGCTTGTTACAGCCCAGAGTCGCCAAAAGAGTTATGCCGACTGTAGGAGGAGCCTTTGGCGTTTGAGATAGGTGATCATGTTTTCTTAAAAATATCAACCTAGGCAGTTTGATGAATTTCAAGAGTGGGAAATTTATCCCCTCGGTTTATTATTTCCCTTTGAATCCTTGAGAGGGTACGAGGTTGCTTATTGTTTAGCTTTACCGCCGCATTGTCCGGAGTGCCATGACGTGTTCATGTGAGTATGCTTCGGAAGTATGAGTCGTATCCGTCCATGTGTTGGTTAGACCGACTTGGAGGTAGATGAAGATGCCTCGTATGAGGAGAAGACCGGTTCGGGTCTTAGATAGACGAGATCAAGTTCTGCGAGGCAAGACCATCCCCTTAGTAAAGGTTTTGTGGAAGCATCACGGAGTGGAGGAAGCACTTGGGAACGTGAGCGGATGTCCGTGAGAATTAGCCGGACTTGTTTGTTGACGTTGTAATCTTGTAATGAAAATTCTGTAATATTAATTGAACTTTAAGAGCATTGTATATGCTTAAGTTGTAAAACATTGTGAATGTTTTGGGTTAATGGAAATTGTTTTTAACATTGCCTGTGTTTTTAAGAAATTGTGAGAAACAGGTTGAAATGGGTAGATTTCAGGAATGCATGTTGATAATGCAGGTTGTTAATGTAATAATGTGAAATGCCTCTTGAGAAGAGAATGGGATTGACCGGTAATGGGTCGGGTTGTTTAATATTATGTTCGTAATATTGTTGAGAATGGAGAAAACTTGTTTTTGAAAAACTTGTGTTTAATTTCGGGGACGAAATTCTTTAAGGGGTGGAGGTTATAGTGATCCAGTTGTCCTTTACTGTTCTGTTGTATTCCGGACTCAGGTTCCGTGAAGTTGTAGTGGTATCTATCTTGTTGTCGTCCTTTAATTCCACTTGATTGAGTTTTAGGATGTTTAAGTAGGGTTGTTACAGGTTGGTTAGGCCTTGGTTTCAATTCCTTGTTGTCCAATTTTTAGGCAATCCGCTCGAGCGGGTCTTCTTGCACTCGAGCGGGGATTGCACACCTCCAGTATTTCGTGTTCCTACAAAAACTTCTGCAGATGTGATTTTTACGCTCGAGCGGTTTGTTTACGCTCGAGCAATAGCGCTCGAGCGGGTTTGTTGGCGCTCGAGCGGGTAGTACTTTCCTGGGTGTAAGTTCTGGGAGGGGGAAATCTACGCTTGAGCGGACTGGTTTTCGCGCTCGAGCGGAAGTGCTTTACTCTTGTGTCTTGGCGCTCGAGCGGCGCCTTATTGCGCTCGAGCGTGTCCAGATTTTTGTTCTTGGCGCTCGAGCGTTTGTGTTCTCCACTCGAGTAGGTCTGCGTATATGAGTTATCCGCTGGTGATTTTAAATCACTTTTACTTTCCTTTCTCTCTCCTACTTTTTCTAACCCATTTTTGAGAAGCTCCTCTCTCTAAACCTTGACTTCTCTCTAGGTATTGATCTAGTAGGAGTGATTTCCTCACCTTTGGCCTTTACAAAAAAGTTGTTGATCGTCGAGGGCTATCTTTTGATTCTGAGAAATTCGTGGGTTGGAGCATTTTCGTCTTCTTCACCTTCTTGGTTGGGAGTCATCTTTTTGAGTAGGGAATATCCTACTCCTCTTTATGAGTTTTGTCTTTACATTTTGGCATTTCGATATGTTGGGGCTTGTTGGTAATTTTGAGAGAGTTTGGGCCTTTGTGTAATTTTACAAAAGTTAGGGTTTTAATTTTATAAAACCTAAATGCATGTTTGGCATGAATGAATGAAGTAAAATGTTGAAACATTGATGAAAATGAAAACCATTAAGGGTTGAAATGTTAATTATGGAAAATGCCCTAATTACATTGATTGATTAATTTGTACAATTAATTGTTTGGAAATTGGAAAGAGAAGGAATTAGAGGGTGTAGTTGGATCGTTTATCGCTCACCTAATTGAAAATGTTGATTTAACATCCATTTTGTGCATTTTATTTTCTGTTTAGAAATAACTGCTTTGGGCTATCGGTGGAGATAGTCTTGATTGTTGTAGAAAATACATGATGATTAGGCAAATTAAAACTAATCGATTGAATGCGTCATAGAGTATGACGGCGGATAGAATACATTAATTTTATGTATTGATTGATTGTGTATAGAACCTTTGTGTGTTATATGCCATTGTGTGAGAGGAGGAGATGGGGATGTACTCCGCGGTTTAGGGGAAGATGGGGGATGTACCTCTAAACCGGATAGTGTTGAGGGGAGATGGGGGATGAACTCCGTAGATACAGCTCATATCTTGTCTAGAGAAGTGAAGATAGAGTTCATAGGCTTATCTTTGAGAAAGTGTAGATACAGCTCATATGCTTGTCTAGTGAAGTGTGGATACAGCTAATATGCCATATTTGTTGATGTGTAATATGCTTATCTATTAAATAAAGATGGAAGAATGAAAAGTGACATAGACTCGTATGTTATGAAAATTGTGATGTGATATATGTGGATGTATCAGTGTTGGCCATCTATCAATTGCTAATCTTTTAGTCATTGTTCATAAGTTGGTTTAGTATATGTCTGTTGGGCTGTGGCTCACCCTATATGGGAACATCATTTTTAGGTACAGGTAGCATCCCACCTCCAAGGACATAGCTTGGGAGGCTAGAGGCCGGACACACTTTTGTGTCTTATTTCTTTTTGATGTTTACATGTAAATTCAAGCCAAGGGCTTAATATGTAATTGAGTTAGTACTCTCTTTTGTAACCAAGTATTAACTTGGAAAGCATGTAAGCCCGTAGGGCATTTGCTTTTGTTTAATTAACATGTAATACTTTTGTATGAAAGTACTCTGATGAATTGAAGAATGTGGATCTTTTGATATAAATGTATGTCTATATTGATTGGGTTTAATGTTATATTATTTTGAGGGCGTTACACGACTTAATAACATGAATTATTAGTTATATATTTTAATGTCCAGTAAGTGATGGCCATGAATCTTTTTATTAACTCATTCTAACTGAATAAAAAAATGCATGTAAAATAATAATGAAAGGCTAATTTTTTTTCATTTAAGATATGTATTTTTTTTTGTTATCTATTCTAGAGTCAATCTAGTAAAAAATATATAGTAATAAGGTACAATTTTTTTTAGAAAAAATGCAATTGAATTAAAATCAAACATTCTATGAATAATTTCATTTAGTACAAATAAATTTTAATAAAATTCAACTTATGGGAAAAAATTTATAATCTCTCCATACACTTGCAAAGTTATTTTTAACTAAAAGTGTAAGTTTTCACATTAAACATCTATCGGACACGAATCAAAATAACACCATATGACAACATGAAAATAAATGAATTGAGCAAAATTATTGAAGTAATTTCTGAAATAACACCACATGATACACTCCCCTAGCTGGGGGTCTTAAATTTTTGTTCAAAATTGGGGACCCAAGCCAACCACCTTAGTTGCCTCACCTCAGGGCCAGCCCTGCCAAGCAAGTGTGAGAAACACAGGGCAGCACCACCAACAACTCCTCTAGCAATGGCTCCAGTGGCACTGCTAACCTATTGGAATAAATTTGCAATCAGAAATTAGCATGTTCACTCTTATTGTACATTCCCTTCACAAACTGAAAATTTGATAGGAAGACAATTCAATGAAATAAAATAATGCCATGGTTCGGACAATCCTAGTGCAGAGTCTAGTGGAAAAATTAGATTCTAACTTCAGCAACATATATCATAAATCGCTAACTAAAGAAAGCTGAAACTTGAACGATTCTCGGACAAATAAAAAAGATCAAAGCATGGAGGTTTCCCTAGGAAAATAAATATTGGCTGTGCATCATAAACTATGAAGCATGGATACTTCAAAAAGGAAGACATATCCGTATCGGATACTTATCAGATACCGATGCTTCTTGATGCTTGCGGATACATATCGAATACTTCTTAATTAATTTTTATTAATTTTGGAGTATCGAATACTTAATTTTGAAGTATCTGATACTCGAAGTCACATATTATTTCTAATACCTTATTTAGTTCTTTGATAAAAGGAATATAGTGAGAGTTCAAGTAATAGAATTTGTCAAATTGATATATTCTTATTGTCTATCTACACTCTCATGTTTCTCTGCTCTCATTCTTTTTTTGATGTTGGCATGTAAGGATGATGCTTAATTTGCATTTGCATTTGCTTTTAGTTTTGAATATTTTAGGAATGTTTGAAGACACTTAACTTAATAGAAATCCCTCTCTTTATTTATTAATTTGCTTAGGTTTTATTTTCAACCATATTAACATTATTAAAATTATAAAAAATCATTTTTGTTTACGAACGTATCCCCGTCGTATCCGTATCTTACTTTTTCAGATTTTGGTGTATCGTCATATTCCCATTATCGCCGTATCCTATCCATGCTTCCTAGATCATAAATATATAGAGAACCTAAAACCTATACATACTGGTTGAGGAATTGACCTGACGTGCAACTTATTTTTTGTATAGTTGCTTTCAAAAGCATAATGTGCATGAAGTTAGAAAGACAAATTACAAATCCAGCCAAGTCATCTGTGACAAGGTCTGAACAGGTAGCATGGAACAAAGTTTATAATTAAAGAATTGAGGAATTGAAAGTGTTGGATAAACAGAACAAAACCCAATATCAGCAAAACCTAGGAGAAAAACGAAACAAACCTGAAGCAGTAGATGGGGGTGGCGGTGGAGTTTGGAGGAAATGTAAAATTATTATTTTGAAAACTGCAAAATGAAAAGAATAGTGGTCAGCATATGTTTAGATGAGTCACCTGACTCCACTAGTATAGAAAATGATGTTACCAGCAACAAACCTGCTGGAAGTAAAAAGTTGAAAGGAGCCATTAACTGGGACAACTCCTGTTAAGTGATTGTTTGAAAGATCACTGTATACCAAATGGCAAGAAGCCATATCATATTCTTGCAGTTAGTTTATGCCAATTAAGCTAATCAAAAAAAAAAAACCTTTATTATTCACCAAAAAGGAAAAATAAAGAACATGTCAACTTGGTACTCACAGGGATTGAAGTGAACTGATAGTAGTCAATGACATAGGAATAGTTCCAGACAAAGTGTTGTTGTTAAGCCGTCTATCCTTGCAAATAAATACAAGGACCAGGCATCAGTACATTGCAACAATCAAGATGGTATATCAATAAAATTCCTAGGGACATGGCTGATCAACGCTAGTAGATGCACATAATACATGCAATATGTGATCAATCAGAGCTCTCTCTGCAATATGATCCACTTTCGGATGAAAGTTGATCTGCGAATGAACAAACAACTAGTAGATGCACATAATAAAGTAACATATGATAAAACAAATAGCCCTTCGGCACTGTTTTCCAATATCAAGAGGATGCTATTTCTTAATCATTGATTAGTATGCATTTTAATAATTTTACTAAGAAAATGTAAAAATCAATGCATTTTATCACCAAAATACTTAGTCTTTATAGGCCCTACTGGATATTAATCTAGACATCTTGACAACAATGGGATTTCCATCTTTGGGGTTGATTTAATCAAACATGCAATATCTTGGACTGAATAACTTGAATAATTTGTTTTCATGCATTTTTCTAAATATACATAAAAAATAAAAAATAAAAAGAACAAAAAATCATGAGAGTATATTCTTTAAGGGCCTATTTGGTAACGTTTACGTTTTCAGTTTATATTTACAACAATTTTATAAACTGATTTTTTGTTTATTTTTGAAAAACATAAACTACAAACGCGTTTCGTTTAGACAAAATGTTTAAAAAAAATTTAAAAATATAAAAAAGAGTGAGAAATGACAAGTGGTGGTGGGTGGTGGTAGGTGGTGACGAGTGGTGGCGGCGAAAAACGGTAGTGGAAAAATGATGGCGGGTGGTGGGCAGAAAACGGCGGTGGAAAATGGTGGCAGGTGGTGGGTGATGGTGCAGAAGACGGTGGTGGAAAGTGGTGACACGTGGCGGTGGGTGGGTGGTGGTGGCGCGAAGACGGTGGTGGAAAGTGGTAACGGGATGGTGGATGGTGGTGGCAGGTGGGTGGTGATGGCGGTGGTGGTAGGTGGTGGTGACGGGTGGTGCGTGGCGGTGGTGGTGGTGGTGGCGCGAGTGGTGGTGGTGGTGGCAGGTGGATGGTGGTGACGGTGGTGGGTGGGTGGTGGCGGGTGGTGGCGATGGTGGTGGGGCGGTGGGGTGGCGGTGGCGGGTGGGTAGTGTGTGGTGGTGGCGGGTGGGTGGGTGGCTGGTGGGTGGTGTGTGGTGGTGTGGTGGTGGTGGCGGCGGCGGCGGCGGGGGTGGGTGGTGGTGGCGAGTGGGTGGTCGTGGGTGGTGGTGGTGGTGGGGGTAGCAGGGGGTCGGTGGGGCGCGAGTGGGTGGCAGGTGGTGGTGGTGGCGGGTGGGTGGCTGGTGGATAGTGGGTGGTGTGGTGGTGAGGGGGGTGGTGGCAGTGGTGGTGGGGGTGGGGGTGGCGGAAGGCAGTGGTGGAAAATGGTGGCAGGTGGTAGCTTGTGTTGGGTGGTAAAAAAAAAAATTGATTTTCTAAAAGATTTGCTGGATTTTGACTCTTTTGTGTTTATCTCTTTCACATTACACTTGTGAAATCAGATTCAGAATCACGGGAGTTCGAATTGTAGGGCTATCGTATCTGAAAGGAGCATGAAAAGTCAAGTTACAGTTTTTGGCGACTCTATTAGGGATTTATAGAACTTGACTTGAACTTCATGATATGAAAATTTTATCTACATGTATATGTTATTTGTATTGCATTTGCATTCGTCTTCCGCTGCCACCACCCGCCACGTGTCACCACTTTCCACCACCGTCTTCTGCCACCATCACCCACCACCTGCCACCATTTTCCACCGCCGTTTTCTGCCACCACCACCCGCCATCATTTTCCACTACCGTTTTTCGCCGCCACCACTCGTCACCACCTACCACCACCCACCACCACTTGTCATTTCTCACTCTTTTTTACATTTTTAAATTTTTTTAAACATTTTGTCTAAACCAAACGCGTTTGTAGTTTATGTTTTTCTAAAAATAAACAAAAATCAGTTTATAAAATTTTTGTAAATATAAACTGAAAACGTAAACGTTACCAAATAGGCCCTTAAAGAATATACTCTCATGATTTTTTTGTCTTTTTTATTTTTTTATTTTTTTATGTATATTTAGAAAAATGCATGAAAACAAATTATTCAAGTTATTCAGTCCAAGATATTGCATGTTTGATTGAAATCAACCCCAAAGATGGAAATCTCATTGTTGTCAAGATGTCTAGATTAATATCCAGTAGGGCCTATAAAGACTAAGTATTTTGGTGATAAATGCATTGATTTTTACATTTTCTTAGTAAAATTATTAAAATGCATACTAATCAATGATTAAGAAATAGCATCCTCTTGATATTGGAAAACAGTGCCGAAGGGCTATTTGTTTTAATCATATGTTACTTTATTATGTGCATCTACTAGTTGTTTGTTCATTGCAGATCAACTTTCATCCGAAAGTGGATCATATTGCAGAGAGAGCTCTGATTGATCACATATTGCATGTATTATGTGCATCTACTAGCGTTGATCAGCCATGTCCCTAGGAATTTTATTGATATACCATCTTGATTGTTTGCAATGTACTGATGCCTGGTCCTTGTATTTATTTGCAAGGATAGACGGCTTAACAACAACACTTTGTCTGGAACTATTCCTATGTCATTGACTACTATCAGTTCACTTCAATCCCTGTGAGTACCAAGTTGACATGTTCTTTATTTTTCCTTTTTGGTGAATAATAAAGGTTTTTCTTTTTTTGATTAGCTGTAATTGGCATAAACTAACTGCAAGAATATGATATGGCTTCTTGCCATTTGGTATACAGTGATCTTTCAAACAATCACTTAACAGGAGTTGTCCCAGTTAATGGCTCCTTTCAACTTTTTACTTCCAGCAGGTTTGTTGCTGGTAACATCATTTTCCATACTAGTGGAGTCAGGTGACACATCTAAACATATGCTGACCACTATTCTTTCATTTTGCAGTTTTCAAAATAATAATTTTACATTTCCTCCAACTCCACCGCCACCCCCATCTACTGCTTCAGGTTTGTTTCGTTTTCTCCTAGGTTGTTGCTGATATTGGGTTTTGTTCTGTTTATCCAACACTTTCAATTCCTCAATTCTTTAATTATAAACTTTGTTCCATGCTACCTGTTCAGACCTTGTCACAGATGACTTGGCTGGATTTGTAATTTGTCTTTCTAACTTCATGCACATTACTGCTTTTGAAAGCAACTATACAAAAATAAGTTGCACGTCAGGTCAATTCCTCAACCAGTATGTATAGGTTTTAGGTTCTCTATATATTTATGATCTAGGAAGCATGGATATGGGATACGGCGATAATGGGAATATGACGATACACCAAAATCTGAAAAAGTAAGATACGGATACGACGGGGATACGTTCGTAAACAAAAATGATTTTTTATAATTTTAATAATGTAATATGGTTGAAAATAAAACCTAAAGCAAATTAATAAATAAAGAGAGGGATTTCTATTAAGTTAAGTGTCTTCAAACATTCCTAAAATATTCAAAACTAAAAGCAAATGCAAATGCAAATTAAGCATCATCCTTACATGCCAACATCAAAAAAAGAATGAGAGCAGAGAAACATGAGAGTGTGAGATAGACAATAAGAATATATCAATTTGACAAATTCTATTACTTGAACTCTCACTATATTCCTTTTATCAAAGAACTAAATAAGGTATTAGAAATAATATGTGACTTCGAGTATCAGATACTTCAAAATTAAGTATTCGATACTCCAAAATTAATAAAAAATTAATTAAGAAGTATTCGATATGTATCCGCAAGCATCCAAGAAGCATCGGTATCTGATAAGTATCCGATACGGATATGTCTTCCTTTTTGAAGTATCCATGCTTCATAGTTTATGATGCACAGCCAATATTTATTTTCCTAGGGAAACCTCCATGCTTTGATCTTTTTTATTTGTCCGAGAATCGTTCAAGTTTCAGCTTTCTTTAGATTAGCGATTTATGATATGTTGCTGAAGTTAGAATCTAATTTTTCCACTAGACTCTGCACTAGGATTGTCCGAACCATGGCATTATTTTATTTCATTGAATTGTCTTCCTATCAAAATTTTCAGTTGTGAAGGGAATGTACAATAAGAGTGAACATGCTAATTTCTGATTGCAAATCTTATTCCAATAGGTAGCAGTGCCACTGGAGCCATTGCTAGAGGAGTTGTTGTTGGTGCTGCCCTGTTGTTTCTCACACTTACTTGGCAGGGCTGGCCCTGAGGTGAGGCGACTAAGGTGGTTGGCTCGGGTCCCCAATTTTGAACAAAATTTAAGACCCCCAGCTAGGGGAGTGTATCATGTGGTGTTATTTCAGAATTACTTCAATATTTGCTCAATTCATTTATTTTCATGTTGTCATATGGTGTTATTTTGATTCGTGTCCGATAGATGTTTAATGTGAAAACTTGCACTTTTAGTTAAAAATAACTTTGCAAGTGTATGGAGAGATTAAAATTTTTCCCATAAGTTGAATTTTATAAAATTTATTTGTACTAAATGAAATTATTCATAGAATGTTTGATTTTAATTCAATTGCATTTTTCTAATTAAAAAAATTGTACCTTATTACTATATATTTTTTTACTAGATTGACTCTAGAATAGATAACAAAAAAATACATATCTTAAATGAAAAAAAATTAGCCTTCATTATTATTTTACATGCTTTTTTATTCAGTTAGATGGAGTTAAATAAAAGATTCATGGCATCACTTACTGGACATTAAAATATATAACTAATAATTCATGTTATTAAGTCGTGTAACGCCCTCAAAATAATAACATTAAACCCATCAATATAGACATACATTTATATACAAAAGATCCACATTCTTCAATTCATCAGAGTACTTCATTACAAAAGTATTACATGTTAACAACAAAAGCAAATGCCCTACGGGCTTACAGCTTTCCAAGTTAACACTTGGTTACAAAAGAGA